TCGGACGCTTAACCGACTGAGCCACCCAGGCGCCCCCAAATTTCCTCTTTTTATAAGTACACCAGTCATATCAGATTAGGACCCAGCCTGGTGACTTCATGTTGAACTTGATTACTTCTTGATTACTTCTTTTTTTTTTTTTCAACGTTTATTTATTTTTGGGACAGAGAGCACAGATCATGAATGGGGGAGGGGCAGAGAGAGAGGGAGACACAGAGTCGGAAACAGGCTCTAGGCTCTGAGCCATCAGCCCAGAGCCTGACGCGGGGCTCGAACTCACAGAGCGAGATCGTGACCTGGCTGAAGTCGGACGCTTAACCGACTGCGCCACCCAGGCGCCCCTTGATTACTTCTTTAAAGACCTTCTATCCAAATGTATCGACATCCGAGGTACAGGGGGAGTAGGACTTCAACATACGTGTTTTCAGGGGCACACAATCCAGGCCCTAACAGACACTGACACAAGGCAGCTCACGCAGGGAAGGTGGGCTCTTACAGTCGCAATGACCAGACAGCCTATGTTTATCTGGTGCTTACTAAAGCTGGGTGCTTAACCTGCATCAGTTCCCTGAATCCTCATGAAAATCCTGTGAGGCAAATACTATTGTGCCCTTTTGCCGATGAAAAAACTGAGGCATGGACAGTTTAAGGAGCTTGCCCAAGTCCACACAGCTAGTGATAGCAGAGACAGGATTGAGAGCCAGGCAGTCTGAATCGAGGGCCCGTGCTCTTCACCTCTGTGCAACTCAACCTTCTGGAACAGGGACTTATCCATCCATATGACACACAGTCTGGCCAACATCCCAGAATCCTCTGATGAGCCATCAGTGAATTACCTCTCAGATCAGACTGCTGAGCATCGGCCTCTGTATCAGAAATGGGCAGGTGAACGTGTAGACAGCAAAAGGAGGTGGCTAACGCCAGAGGCTGGTCCCTCCTGCCGTGACAGCTTGCCTGAGAAGGGACAGGGTGGTCAGCTCCTCTCCCCGGGCCAGCTGGAGAGACAGGCCGAGACATGGTTATTCTCTGTGCTGTCCAATAGAACTTTTTGCAGTTCTGATGGAAATGTTCAATGACTGTGCGGCCTAAATCGGTAGCCACATGTGGCTTTCGAGCACTGGAAGTGTGGCTAGTATGACCAAGGAGGTATGTATTTACTTGTGCTGAGTTTTAATTAGTTTTCATTTTAATAAACTAAGTCACACGTGCTTGGTGGCCACCGCATTGGAGCACACAGCTCACAGCGGCACAGATTCTGAAGCCGTTGTAGAGGGAGTGCAGGGAGTGAAGCATTTCACATCCAGTCTTTACAAAAAGCTTTTGACCTTCTTGGTGGCACCTTGGGCAAACCCTTTTTCAGGATGAGACAGTAAGCGGCCCTTCTAGGTTAAGGCCAAGGTCTTTCTCGCACGTTGTCTCATACTGCCCATCAGACGGCCTGTTGGCTGGGTGACGTGCCTGTTTACCTCTGAGGGGGCCGTGCCTCAGAGACATCAATTGCCCTGTTCAAGGGTGCACATCCAGAACAGGACTAGCTGGAGTCTAACACCAGGGCTGAGCGGCTGAGCGCAGCTAATGGAAACACCGTAAACTGTGTGTCCCATGTGGCTGGTGCAACCGAGGGACCGAGCTTTAAATTCTTTCATTTTACTCAGTTAAAAAGTAAGCTTATGTGGCCAGGCATGGCTCATGGCCACCAAACTGGATGGCACGGCCCCAGCGTCCACCACACTTTACTGTTGGTAACCAATATTACCCACGTGGGTTAGTTTTCTTTAGACTTTGCCCCCCCAAACCGGCAGTCAGGTGCTCTGCTCCAGAGCAGGCTCCCCACTGCAGTGCGTGTTCCTGGGCGCAAGGGCTGTGCTGGCCAGGGCTGGGGGCAACCGAGCTGCTTTTCCCACTCAGCAATGTCCTGTCTGGCCTGGCAGGCCTGTCTGTCCCAGGCACGGAAGGTACAGGCTCCTGACCCGGGCCTTAGGTAACTCATGCATGCACTGGGCACTCCACACTTGGCCCACAGTTGGGATCCAGGAGGCCTCCGCGAAGAAGTGAGAGGGTAGCAGGAGGAGGGCTTGGGTAAGCAAACAAACAAAATGGAAAACCTCATGGTTTTGAGTGTGATATATATTCCTCCAAATTGTTTTTGTAAATACACTAACGCGAGAGAATGTTGTTTTTTTTTTTTAACAAATATGGAATCTTATTTTCTGTGTATTGTATACAATTACAGTTTCTTTTTTGTCCACTTATATTTTTATACAAAAACATTAATCACGTGCTGACTGCACACCAGGCTCTGTTTTAGATGCTGGGGGCACAGCAGGAACAAGACAGGTGAGCCGCCCCTGCCGTGGGCAGAGGAGACAGTAAACACACACATTCATAACTAAATCAGGTGCTTTGCGGTTGTGTTGACCAGCGAAGTGGACAACACGTATAAAGAGGTTCCCCTTGTGTCTGCAGACTCTGAGCCTCGACGCCTCGTCCATGGTTTACCCCCCACAGGAGGTGTGCAGTGCTGGGACCCAGGCCATTCAGCAGTTCCTCTGCAAAGGTAAAACCAGGCAGGCAGCCTGCCTCCTTCACTCAGTGAGTAAGCATGGTCCCAGAAACTGCCCTGTGCCAGCCCGGGCTCGGGGGAATAGCAGAGACCCAGGAGGCCACCGTCTCTGCCTGCTTGGAGCTCTTCAGATCTGGCAGGAGAAACAGGCAGAACAGATGGTCACACTAGGAAATGTAATTACCAGTTAGGCTACGTCCTCAGGGAAGGTCCTAGAAAGTGGCTCAGCTGAAACCTGAGGGTGATTAACACTTAGGAAAGAGAGAAGGCTGCTGCTGGCAGGAGGAGAGGCCCCTCGAAGGGCCTAGAGGCATGGGGGCAGTGGGAAGCATGCCGCAGGGGAAGCCGAGTGGCTGGGTGCCGACACAAAGAAAAATGGGGTAAAGCCGGAGAGGCCATCTGGGCCTCGTATCATGTAGGAGAGGGCTTTGATCAGTTTGCTTTTTACAAAGTTCACTCCAGCTGCAGGGAGGAGAAGGGAGTGGAGAAAGCAAGCGTGGAAGCCAGGGACAAGTTGGAGGTCATGGGGTCAACCAGGACAAAGGCCACAGTGGACTGGACTTGGAGGAGTGGCAGTGCAGTGAAAACTCAGGGCCACCGCTGATCCAGGTGCCCCGAGGGTGGGAGCGGTATATCCAGCCACCTCCTGCCCGGTTGATATTCTTAATTAGGGGCTCCTGTCACCTGGGGAACTTCTAGAACGTGGCTAAGACACATACATGAGGTCAGCTGTGGGTGACGAAGGTGCCGTTGCAAAGCCACCAGAAAAGAAAGCAAAGGTTTTTTTCAGTTAATGACTCTGGATCAATTGGATATCCATGTGGGAAAAAAGAACCTTCATTTCTTCCTTCAGTAGGAGACAGGCAGCATTGACCACGGAAGGCTGATAAATTAGATTTCAGTAACATCAAAAAGGCACCACTTAAAGAAAGAAAGGGCAAGCCATAAAGTTGGGAAGCCACTTATAAACATTCATTAGGCTGTGCGTGAAGACTTTGCGCTCTTTTCTGCGTGTATGTGATATTTCAGTTAAAAAAAAAAAAAAGAAAAAGTTTCACACCACACAACAGCTACTCAGGCCCCACATCTACCAGATTAGTGTTTGAGCAACAGGTGATTCTCATGTGCACCCTGGCCAGTGGCTGAGCTACACCATGTTCTTTTCTTTCTTTCTTCCTTCAAGTATAATTAACACAGCCTTACATTAGCTTCAGGTGTACGATCTGCTGGCCTAATTCTCTACGGGACTCAGTGCTCATCCCGATAAGGGTGCTCTTAATCCCCTCCACCTGTTTCACCCATCTCCCCACCCAAACCCTTTATTTTCCTTAAAAAGATTTTTAAATTATGCCATTTGTAGGTGTACAAAAGGCAAAGAATAAAGCAGTGAACATATGTGTACCCACCACACAGCTTAAGAAATGATCTGTTTGTTTAAACAGTGTATACGTATACATTATTACATAAAGTTTTTGGGTTTGCTCTTTTAAAAATATTTTTTAAAAACCCACAAAAGGTATCATGCTGTTGTCATTCTGCTCTTTTCACTCAAGAATCGGTCTTGGACCTCTTCCTGCCTCATAATGGATGGATCTGCCTTTTTCTTTTTTTTAATGTTTATTTTTGAGAGTGCACGCGCGCGGGAGGGGCAGAGACAGAGGAGGACAGAAGACCCGAAGCGGGCTCTGCACTGACAGCAGAAAGCCCAACACAGGGCTCAAACTCACAAACCATGAGATCATGACCTGAGCTGAAGTCAGATACCTAAACGACTGAGCCACCCAGGTGCCCCCCACCTTTTTTTGTAAACGTTTATTTGATTTTTAAGAGCGAAAGAGCACAAGCAGGGGGAATCCCAAGCAGGTTCTGTACCAATAGCAGTGAGCCTGACATCGGGACTCGAACTCACGACCCGCGAGTTCATGACCTGAGGCGAAATCTGACGCTTAACCGACTGAGTCACCCAGGTGCCCCGGATCTGGCTTGTTTTAAAGAATGTATAGTATTTCACGTGGTGGAGCCCCACAGCTTATGTAGCCTTTCCCTGCTGGTGAGCATGAGGTGGTTTCCAGTCTCCCAGTGTCACGAACATTTTAACCCACCCCTCTGTGGCACCGTGGGAGTACTCCTCCAGGGCAGGCAGAGTGGCACTGGCAGGCAAAGGGGCAAGCGCTGTGTGCTCCGCCAGCTTACATTCCCGTGAGAAGACCCTTTTTCCTTCCCACAAGTGACCCTCGGTGTCATTTCCACCAGCCTTGTCAGTTTGTTTATTCTGACAGATAAACAAGAAAGTCACGTTCTTGGTTATTTGAATATTGTTTCATGTATTTACGAGCCATTTTTAGTGTTTCTTTTCCCATTTATATTTGAAAAAGACAATCTTGACCATATTAAAATCTAAAAGTTCTTTACCCCCAAAGGATCCTGTCATTAAAAAGACAGGTTACCATCCAGAAGAAGATTGCTGCAATATATATTATAGGCCCAAGGTTATTAGCTACAATATGTAAAGAGCATAAATCGGTAAGAATGAGGCAAACAAAACAATAAGGCAAACAATCCACCCAAAAATGGGTAACGGGTATGAGCCCTGTCAAATTACACAGGAGAAAAATACGCAGGGCCACAGAAGGCAAGCGTCTTCCCGGGGTCTCACACACAGCCTTCTCCACTAATCTCACGCTTTCTCATCGCCCCATTCTCACGTGGATGGTAAAGAGGCAGCTGGCGAGCCTATTTATTCACTCAGCTGCCGCTTACCGAGTGCTTGATGTTAGGAAGGGCGAGCAAGATGGAGGGCCCAGCCCGGTCCGGGGCAGGGGAGCCGTGGACCAGGCAGGCGGGACAGGATGCTGGGGAGGAAGGTGGGGGCTGACGGAGGGGACGACTCTGTCCCCTCCCTCCCGGTCAGTTTGTGCCGTCTCTTGCAGAGTCAGGGCTGGAATACTACCCTCCTTCTCAGTACTTGCTGCCAGTCCTGGAGCAAGATGGGGCCGACGCTTCCTGGGACAGCCCCGACGGCCCCACAGACAGATTCTCCAGGGAGGAGGCAGAATGGCAGGTAAGGTGTGCTTGCCTGCTGACGTGTGCTGTGGAGGGGAGGCCCTGGGCACTGGGGGCTGTTCAGGGCTGCAGGCCCTGGATTCCTCCATCGAACTAGAATTCACCTCCACTCAGACCAGCGTGCTTAGATGCTTTCAGGAGGCCTTCTATGCCACCTCACCCACCACCGCCCCAAACAGGTTCCTCTCTGTTTCCCGAACTCCCCGGGACCTCTGAACTTGCAGTTCACCCCATCTGGAATTCTCTCCACTCACCTCTCGCTAACTCCATCTCATCCTTCAGTTCTGTCTAGACCCCACATCCTCTGAGAAGTCTCCCCCTCCCCCCACACCAGCCCAGGTCAGGTCTCCTGCCATGTGGTCTCGGTGCCCACACGTCTCCTTGGGAGCACCTCTACAGCTCTAAGTGAAGACTCATGTGGGAGATGGTTTAACGACTGTCTCCCCTGCTAGATGAAGCTTTGTGAGAGTGGGGGGTTGTGTCTGGATTGTTCATTGTTGTCTCTCAGTGAGCGCTTCCTGCCTCGGTGCCCCTTGCTGTACAGGAAGCCTGTCCTGCTCTCCTGTTACCCGTCTGAGGAGAAGCACGTGTGTCAGCACGGCAACAGGCTGGCCCTCCCTGGTCCCTGGGGGTGACCTACGTTGGGACCGGTGTGGAGGAGGAAGCTTGGCCAGGGTTTACCACTTCAGCCAGGCATCACCTGACACTGGAACCAGACAGAGACCGCCTCTGGCCCCATCTGTGTTCCCACAGAGGGCTCAGAGCCCGGGGCGTCTGATGGCAGGCAGAGGAGGAACCAACTGCCTCAGGTTTGGCTTCTTATCTTCCAGTGACTTGTTATTAATCTCCGGTTCCCTGGTGACACCCTTCCCTGTCGTACAGAGCCCACCGTGAATGCCTCGTGCTTTTGCCTGTCTGCTGGCAGCTCAATGAGAATTAGAGAGGGGGAGATTTCTACCTAGGGAAATTGTCAGTTTTTCCTCTCAAAATGTTTGCAGCGAACATTTTTGATGCAGGATTAACAGACTGAATATATTAAAGAACTCTTCCAAAGCAGTAAAGTGAAGCAGAAAACCATCCCAAGAGAAGAAAAGTGGGCCAGAGATATATCAACAGGTACTATACAGAATAAAACAGTACAGATGAGGGGCGCCCAGCTGGCTCAGTCAGCGCATGTGACCTTTGATCTCAAGGTCATGAGTTCAAGCCCCCCAGAGTTGGGCACAGAGCTTACTTAAAAAGAAGAAAGACTGTGTAGATCAGTAAATACAAAAAAATGCCCGACTTCCCTAGTAATCAGAGACCAGTAAATTAAAACAAAATACCATTTCGCCCTCAGATTGGCACAGATGTCACTTTGATAATTTCCTGGCCACAGTGTGGGGAAACCATGGCCTCATAAATTGCTCTTGGGAATGGAAACTGATATTCCCACTGTAGAAGATAACCTGATAATATAGGTCAAATAGCTCGTGATCCGGCAGTCCCACTCCTCAGTATGTATCCCCAGAGAGACCCTTGTGTAAAGAGACATTTACAAGAATGTTCATTGCAGCCTTATTTGCAGTAGTAAGATATTGGAAGCCCCCTAAATGTCTATCGGTGGGTAAAGGCTGAGCCACCTGTGTCCCATCCATACCATGAGCTAAATCTGTGCAGGCTCAGATCATAGGACACGTGGGTAAGTGAAAAGGACAAGTTGCAGAACATGATGGATATAGACTTCCCCTTTCATACTTAGGAGGTTCAAATACAGATCAGTAATAGCCATTAAAGGCGGGGTGCAATTTTATGACAGAGGGACATGAGGGAATTTTGGGGAGTGATGGGATTGTTCTAGATCTTGACTACAGTGATGGTTACATGACTGCATTGCTCAAGATGCCTAAAGCTGCATACTGAAAAGAATGACCTTTATAGTATGTGAGTTATGCCTTCATCAAAACACGTATTTATATATGAGCACACAGACAAATCTTCTATATTTTCCAAAGGCACAAATTCTGTGTAAGTAGATTCGTGGACTTGGGTCTGATAATGGTAGTTACATGGCAGGGGGCAGGAGGGAACCAGGATCAGGCTGGGGAATGGTCAGGGAATGCTTAAATGCTGTGTTTTAGTTTTTTATAAGGAAAATATATTCCGATAATAGCTGTATAATTTTTTATAAAGTTTTTAATGTTTATTTTTGAGAGCAAGCGCTTTTATGCCCACCCACCAGTGAGCAGGGGAGGGGCAGAGAGACAGGGAGACTGAGGATACAAAGCAGGCTCTAATGGTGACAGCAGAGAACCCGATGCGGGGCTCAAACTCCTAAACCATGATATTATACCCGAGCTGAAGTTGGAACACTTAACTGACTGAGCCACCCAGGTGCCTGCCCTGTGTGTATTTATTTTTGAGAGAGAGATTTGGATGCAGGGCTCGAACTCCTGAGCCACAAGATCATGACCTTGTGGCTTAACCAAAGCCAAAGTCAGATGCTTAACTGACTGAGCCACCCAGATGCCCAGATACTATCTGTATAATTAAAAATTAATTAAAAAATTTTTATTCCTACCTCAGCATGGGACAAATCTGATTTCCTTATAGTGTGTTACTTTTATGGCTCTGATAGAGACTGATCCTGGCCTCCAAGCTGGATAACTAAGTACAAGGCCACTTAAAAAATCTGTGTGTGTGTGTGTGTGTGTGTGTGTGTGTGTGTGTGTGTGTTGTTTCAGTACAAGAATAGTTCACGCTCCTTGTTACAAGTCTGAACAATACAGATATACATAAACCACATGAATGTCACCCCTTCTCCTAAGGTCATCATCACAAACTGCCTTCCATCTCAAAACTCAGAGTTGAATTTTGTTGCCGCTCTGACCTGAACAGAATCCTGCTGCACACAGTGAAACATGGCAGACTTCTTTCTGGGTAGCTCCCCACGTTCGCCCCCTTATTTGACAGTTGTGTGGTCCATTGCACGGATGTACCATGACTTACTGAAGTAACCACCTGTTGGGCATCTGAGTTATTGCCAATGTTTCACTCTTTAAAACGGTTCCACAAGGGGGTGCCTGGGTGGCTCAGTTGGTTAAGTGTCCGGCTTCGGCCCAGGTCATGACGGTTCGTGTGTTTGAAACCCACATCAGGCTTGCTGCTATGAACGTGGAGCCTGCTTTGGATCCTCTGTACTCCTCTCTCTCTCTCTCTGCCCCTCCCGCGCCTGCTCAAGCACTCTTCTTTCTCTCTGTCTCTCTCTCAAAAATAAACATTACAATTGTTTTTCTAACATCTTAACAAAAAGTTCGACAGGAACTAGCACATGTACCTCTGTGCATCTCCAAGTATTTTGGTGGGCTAGAGCTTTGGGGCACTGCGGGCATGCTGTATGGACAGGGAGCCACGTATCTCACTTCTTGGTCTCCCTTCTCAGTCCTGTACCCCCAGAACTGTCCTGAAGAGCTTCCCACGATGTGCCAAACCGGGTGGTTCTCAGTCCTGGTGTCCACTAGAACCATCTGGGACCCTTTATCAGACTATCCTACCCTCTCATCCCCACCCGCCCCACCATTCTGATGCAGCGCCTCGGGGGGCTCCCAAGAGTCTGAATGGGGTCTCGTTGCCTGGCAATTCTGGCCACATGCTGGGGAACCCCACTGCTGTCTACCTCCTCTTCACCACTGTCTTTTTTTTCCTCCCCAGAATAGGTTCTCAGACTATGAGAAGAGGAAGGTAAGAAAATTTTCCTTTTCTCCTCGGTCACTTTTGTTTTTATCAAAGATCTCAACTATTAGAAAAGATTGGAGGGAGCAAGTTCTTCCTGCCTCTAAATTAGAGGGTAAACTAAAGTTTTCCTCTTACACACATGGCCTCACCACATGCTTATGCAGCCTCAGTGGGTGACCAGGTATCTCGCCTTCACAGATGAGAAGCTTGAGGCTCAGAGACCCCCGACTCTAAACCACTAGTCTCTGCCAGGGACCAGCCTGTTTTATTACAGTTGGGCCCTGGGCAGGCAGGTGGTGGGGGGGGGCCAGGAAGGGGAGTTATTACTCAGCTTTAAGACTTAACAGCCTGCACAATTCAGAGGTGAAGGGTAGATTCCCTCTGCTCCCATGTGCAAATGTCCACGGAGCCTAGCCAACCATCACCAGGATCTACATTCTTGCAGGAACAGAAGATGCTGGAGAAACTCGAGTTTGAACGGCGCCTGGAACTCGGGCAGCGAGAACATGCCCAGCTCCTTCAGCAGAGCAGCAATCAGAAGGACGAGATCCTTCAGACGGTCAAGGAGGTCCGTGAGCGGCCATGTGGGGTCAGGCTTGCCTGTGCACTCCCTACCAGTGGGGGCCCTCTGCTGTGGGGAGGCGGTGGCGGTAAGCTCCCTCGCTGGATCTTCCCGGACCCGGGGGCCCTTACGGTTCACCTAGCCCAGCTTCCTTGTGTGTACGGACACCCCGAGGCCTAGCAAGGGGAAGACCTGGTCCAAGATCAAACAGGAAGGCAGGGCAGGGATGAGAAACCTGTGCAGGGATCCTTGGTGTTAGCTCAGGTCGGCCACCTGTCCCGCTGCAGGAGCAGTCCCGGCTGGAGCAGGGCCTAAGTGAGCATCAGCGCTACCTGGATGCAGAGCGTCAGCGGCTGCAGGAGCAGCTGAAGCAAACGGAGCAGAACATCGCCAACCGGATCCAGAAACTCCTGCAGGACAATCAGAGGTCAGGCCCCCAGTCCGCAAACCCAGAGACCTTCCCCTCATGTGGTACCCTTTGAAGAGCCCAGGGTAGGGGTCCATTTCTCCCCTATAGCCTTCACTCCTGCCCCAAGGTTTTCGTTGTTCGGGTCCAATCTTGGTGCTACAATTTGCACCAACCCAAAGAGAAAAGCATCTAATCTGGGCATGACCTGTGTTTTGTCGTGGGACCCACGCCCCCCAGGTTTCCCTGGGGGTCACATCCTGCTCCAATATTTCGGGTTCCAAGTAACATGTTGCCTTGAGGTCAGCCATTCTACCCATAGTGAGATTTGCCTTAACAAATGCTCTCCAAGGTAGGGGCTGCTGGGAGCAGGTCTTGGTGGGGCTTGGGGGAGAGGGAGCCAGATAGAGCTGTCAAGAAGCCTGAGAGAGTCCAGTTGGGGTCCCTTGTGGAAAGCCTCCTGAAACAGGTGTGCCACATCCCCTGTTGCTCCCAGGCTTCCGTTTGCTTTTTCCTTACGGGGCCATCACACAGCAGTCACGTGGGGCCCGAGCAAGCCTGCCGCGTGCCCCACAGTATGCTGTCCTTTCCGGGGTGTCCCAGGAAGCTACCATTTGTTGGATGCTGCTCACATACCAAGCACTTTGCGTATGTTCTCTTAGTCACTCTTTACGAATACTCCATGAAGCCTTCTTATTACGATCCCCTTTTATAGATGAGGAACTGGGGCTTGGCGGGGCTGAGGAACCGGCCCAAGGGCACAGAGCCCCAAGTTCCGGGGCTGAGGGGCCTGGGCCAGTTACTAAGCCCACTCTGCACAGCCAGTGCAGCGAAGGGGAGAACGGTTCTGTTGCAAACAGGCCTGCAGGTGACTACTGCAGGGACCCTTTATGGTTGTCTCCGCAGGCAGAAGAAAAGTTCTGAGATCTTGAAGTCGCTGGAAAATGAAAGGTTAGTGTTTCACTCTAGCCCTTTCTTGGCGTTGCCTTGTGGTGGAGGCAGTGGTCTGGGGAGATAACGTCTTGTGATTCTCAAGGATTATGCCAGAAAGTTTTCCTAAAGCTGTAAGGAGATTCACCTCCTTAGGGAATATTGGGTTAAAAATAAATCACTGCCTGCAAGTTGAACACACATGTACATTCCTGAGAAAAATTGAGACACAAATAAAAATATGTGTGATGTCCAACTATATTGCTAGTGTAAAAAAAATTAGAGGGGCACCTGGGTGGCTCAGTTGGTTGAGCGTCCAACTTCAGCTCTGGTCGTGATCTCATGGTTTGTGAGACTGAGCCCGAGTTGGGCTCTGTGCTGACAGCTAAGAGCCTGGAGCCGGCTTCGGATTCTGTGTCTCCTCTCTCTGCCCCTCCCTTGCTCACGCTCTCTCTCAAAAATAAACATTAAAAAATTTTAAATTAGAGAAAAATCCATTTCTTATTAAGGGAAACACAATCCATTATGGAGTAGAAAACCGGGAGCTATAGTTAACTAAGGCGGAACAGTGTACAATTTCTTCACGACGTGGCACGTATCTGTGCTCAGAAAGCAAAAGGTCCCACCCTGAGTGGTTTACCAGAAATTAGAGGTGGTGATCTTTGGGTTTTTTCCTTCGTGTTTTCCCCGTTCGTTGAGATGCACAGCTTCAGTAATTAGGAAAGATGGTAGCTGAGAGGAACGAGCCCCCCATTCTTCTTTCCCCATACCCTCTGTCTTGTCTTCTTGCCCCCCTCCCCACCGGGATTAACTGGAATCCCCCCTGGTTCCCTGGAATCCCAAAATAGCAACATGGACTTAGCTGCAGTCCTTGTGTCTGCCTTTTAGGCCCCTGGCTGCTTGGGAAGAATTCCCACAGGGAGTTCCTGTGGGGTTGCAGGGTAGCCCCTTCACCTGTCCACTGCAGCTTGACCCGGGTGGTCAAGGCCAAGCTGGGTTGTGGCCGACTGGTTTATTTGGCTCATGCTTACCAAGTGCCCTCTCTGCGTTGGGCCCTGTGGGCTCTGCTGTGGGTCCAGCAGCACCAGATGTGGCCTTCCCTTGAGCAGCCTGTGGTCCTGGGCAAGAGGCCAAGGTGATTACATGCTTCTTCCAACAAAATGCGACCCAACAGAGACTTTAGAAGATGTTCCCTCCAGGCCACCATTCCTAGTTTACTCTGGGGGAACGATGTACACACATGCAACGTGCATGTACGTCCATACTTTTTCATTTCCGTTTACTAGATCATGGATGGATTTCAATGCCAAAAGCCTTATTTGTAATAGCTGTAGAATATTCTGCAATATGATTAAATCCTAATTTAATTAGTCCTCTGTGGACATTTAAGTTTCCAGTTTTTCATAATTATAAGCAGTCTTAGAGTGAGCATCTCCTAAATATCCCCCTGTGCATTTATGTGAATATTTTTGTAGGAAATATTCAAAGGACTTCTTGGTAGGTCTTGCCAGATTACCTTCCAGAAGATATTTTGCCAGTTTATACTCCTCTCAGCAGGACATGAACGTGCCCTTTTTACCACCTTAGCTGCTGCTGCTGGTGGGTGGTCCTCAGTTTTCCTAATCTCCCAATCTGGTAGGTGAAAAGATCTTTAGTTATCAGGTATCTCTTTCCATATGTTTGTTGGTCCCCTGCATTTAAGCATCTGTGAAGTGGCCGTCTGTGTCCTTTGCCCACTTTTCTAAGGGAATGTTGAGCTTTTTATGCAAGATACTCCGTGTACAAGGCTGGAGGTAACTGGGTTCCCCTGGAAGTGCGAGATGCCAGCAGGAGCATGCCTAGGCTGGCACATCGAAGAGGACTTCCCGGAGAAGGTGGTGTTCATCTGCTGGGATTCCCCGTTGAAAACGTTACATCTGCTGAACAAAAATGGATGGAGTTTGTTTGTTTGTTTCTAGGATAAGGATGGAACAGTTGATGTCCATCACTCAGGAGGAGACCGAGAACCTGCGGAGGCGTGAGATTGCCTGTGAGTCTCGGGTGGGAGGTACGGGGTCCTGGGAGCAGGGCTTGTCTGACTGGGGGCAGAGGGTGGACTGCCTTCTCTCTGTACGTACGGCAGATGCTGAGCGTGTGTCCTTGAGGGAGGCTGCAAAGTCCAGACATGGAGCGTGGGCCCTGGTGTCAGGCCGACGCAGGAACAAGCCTGTGACCTCAGGGGACTACTGGTCCCTAACTGTTCTGAACCTCTGTGTTCTTCCCTTTAACTGGGGAGGATGACTGTTACCGCCCCCTAGTGTCCTTCTGAAGGTCAGATGAGCTAATACCTGGCATTAAGTGAACATCCCACTGAGGCTGTAGCGTTTCTGTTGTCAAGAGCTGTGGTCGGCCCCACTTGGGCTCCTGGGAGCTGCCCGTCCTGCCATTCCCAGGAGGTGGTCCTGGGGCACCACACTGTCCATACTTAATGAGGGGGGCCTTCCGGTCTGATCCTGAGAGCTCAGAGGATTAAGCCACGTGCCAAGGAAGGCCAGGAGTCAGTTCCTCCTTTTTTAAAATGACTCTCTTTGGACGGCACCATCCTCCTGAGCCTGGATACTAGAGCAGAATGCTGCACACAGGCCCCGCGCCAGGCGCTGTCCACACACCACCTCCCCTCACTACCTCCTGCTGGGGTGTCCTTAACGTCCCTGTTGTAAATTATCCACCACTTAGAAAAAAGAAAACTTGTGTTTGCATCTCCAGAAGATATTTGTCGGTAAATAGATTGGGAATAGTATCGGTGTTGGGAACTTTTGTTTTCGCCTTTCAAACTTCCCTCCCTGTTGCTTAGCTTCTTATAAATGAGCATTTTTGTTGTTAAGTGTTTGTTTTTAAGAAAACATGGGGGGCAGAGCAGAGAGAGAGAGAGACACACCCAGAATCTGAAGCAGGCTCCAGGCTCCGAGCTGTCAGCACAGAGCCCAATGGGGCTCAAACTCACGAACCCTGAGATCATGACTTGAACCAAAGTCAGACGCTCAACCGACTGAGCCACCCAGGCACCCTAAGCATGTAGTTTTTTTAAGTTTATTTATTTATTTAGAGAGCATGCACACAGGGGAGGGACAGAGAGAGAGAAAATCCCAAGCAGGCTCCGTCCACACTGTCAGTGCAGAGCCCAACACAGGGCTCTGTCCCACAAACTGACATCATGACTTGAGCTGAAATCAAGAGTTGGACGCTTAACCACTGAGCTACCCAGGCACCCTGAAAATGAGCATGTGTTTTTATAATGAAAGAATTTTGGTAAAAATAACAAAAAGGCAAGAAAAGGTAATAACCAGAGTAGTTGAGGACATATGTAGTATCAGGCTGCCCTGATAACACACATCCCACAGCCAAAGGGGATGTGAATCAGCAGCATGTTTCTGGAAGGCAGAAAGGGACATTCCTATTTATTCATGGCCTTAAAACTGTACTCTTAAAAATTATTCTTAGGAAATAATCAAATCAGATTGCACAAGGATGTTTGAGCAAGGACGTTTATCATTTAATAATTGCAAAAAGAGTCCAAATGCCCCCAGATAGAAGATCACCTAACTAAACTTTTGTGATCCGGGCACCGCCATCCCCTGCAGCCAAAACCTCACGCTGCCTCGTGGACATGGGGAGGTGGTGACAGACCATGAGAAGTGGTTGTGTTTAGGGTTGTGACATTTGAAAATTTTTTATTGTGGTAAAATATGTAACGTAATGTCTGCCGTTTTAACCACTTTTAATTGTCCAATTCTGTGGCTCGAAGTACATTCATGTTGTTACGCAGCCATCTCCAGAACCTTCCCAAACTGGAATTCTGTCCCCGTTAAACGCTCCTCTCCATCCCCCTCCCCCAGCTCCTGTACAGCACCCCATTCCACTTTGTCTGAATTTGATGACTCTAGATACCCCCACATAAGTGGAGTCCTCCAGCATCTGTCGTTTTGTGACTGCCTTCTTTCACTCAGCATAACGTCCTCGAGGTTCATCCATGTTGTAGCAGGTACCAGTTTCCCTCCTTTTTAAGGCTGTGAATAATATTCCATTGTGGAGGGGCACCTGGGTGGCTCAGTCAGTTGAACATCTGACTTTAAGTGTTTGTTTTTGAGAGACAGCACAAGTAAGGGAGAGGTGGGGGAGGGACAGAGAAAGAGGGAAACAGAGGATCTGAAGTGAACTCTGGACTGACAGCAGAGAGCCTGACACAGGGCTCAACCGTGAGATCATGACCTGAACCAAAGTTAGACTCTTAACCATCTGAGCCACCCAGGAGCCCCTGAGCATCTGACTCTTAATTTCGGCTCAGGTCATGATCTCCTGTTTCATGGGTTCGGACCCCATGTTGGGCTCTATGCTGACAGCACATAGCCTGCTTGGGCCGGACTCCCTCGCCCCGCCCCCGCCCCTCCCCCCGCATGCGTGCTCTCTCAAAGTTAAAAAATATCCCACTGTGTGTATATACCACATTTTGTTTATCAGTGGACACTTGGCTTTCTTCCACCTTTTGGCCATTGTGAATAACAGTGCTACGAACATGAGTGTACGAGTGTTCAGTTCTCTGCTTTCAATTCTTTCATCTTAATTTTTTAAAAATCCATAAATATTAAAAATTGGAAGGATATGTATCAAAATTAATATCTTTGGGTGATAGATGATAGAAGATCTTGTGTGTGTGCTGTTCAGTGTTTTACAATTAGCCTTTCAAGCGTAAGTCACTTGCATCGTTTAAAAAAAGTGGGTTTTTTTTAAGGTTAAGTATGAGGTGGGTGATGAGCAAACCCTCCAAGGCCCCCCGGGAGCGGTGCCCTTTTCTCAGCCCACCCCCCCGTGTTTCCTCAGCCGCCATGCAGCAGATGCTGACTGAGAGCTGTACAAACCGGCTCATCCAGGTGGCCTACGAGTCCCAGAGGCAGAATTTGGTCCAGCAGGCCTGTTCCAGGTAAGGTAAGGAGAGGCTTCCTGAGTTGGGGTGCTGACTCAGGACCCAGGATCATGGGGTGAGAGCTGGGCTCTGAAGTTCCCGCCTCAGCCATGCTGTCAGGGGCAGGCGGTGACTGGTCTTTGTGGTTTTTCCAGCTGGACCCCATGGTTGTGTCAGGCCATGGTAAAGTGACAGCGCTCACCCCTGCTTCTCCCGCACTTTCGGTGAGCCAGGCGTCCCGCCACGTGGTGTGTGTTAGCTTATTAAATCTACGAGGGACCATGTTGTGACTAGCCCCGTTTTGTCACAACAGCTGAGGCTCAGAGAGACTGTGGGACGCACCCAAGGAAATCTAGCAAGTGGTAGAGCCAGGGTTCAAACCCAGGCAGAGTGGGGGTGTGATCGAGCGTCCGTGTGGGTTGGGAGCAGGGTGTCCTGGAGGGGATGCTAATGGAGT